TCACAGCCCTACTTCTTTGACTATGACAGCTCTGATCAATGCATGAAAAAGTTTCTCAATCAGTTGCATCAATTAGCGAGAGAGATATATGATCAAAAGCGACGGTTTCCTCAATTTCTAGAAAGCCAAGAATCGTTGAACAAAGAAAACACATCAACATGTTGGATTTGCTGTATACATTTTACCAATGAGCACGAAAAATGTCTTGACCATTGCCATTTTTCTGGAAAATTTTTGGGATGGGCACATGAAAAATGCAACCTCGCAAGACGAACTGTAAATTTCACCCCAGTCATTGGACATAACATCCAGAACTATGACCTTCACCACATTTGTCTCGCATTGCATGAATGCGAGCCAACAAGTACAATGAGTGTTATACCTAGCACCGACGAAAAATATATATCGTTAAGCATTGGAGTCCTAATTAAAACTATAAAAAGGAAAAACGGATCCGAGCAAAAAGTTTTTGAATACCTCAGATTTATTGACTCATGCAAGTTTTTGAATTCTTCCCTGCAAAAATTGGTTGATAATCTACCAGCGGAAAAAATGTCAATTTTGAACAAGTATTTTGCAAACGAGACGGAGGAGCAACGGTGTCTGATACGACAAAAAGGTTTCTACCCTTATTCGTACATGACCAGAAGAGAAAAATTTGCAGAAAAAGAATTGCCTCCTTTGCAAAATTGGTCCGATGTTTTGAATGGAGGAAAAGTTGCAGTTTCACAAGCGGATCTGGAACATGCAAGGAAAGTTTTTAGAGGGTTCAAATGTCAAAACTTGGAAGATTATCACAACTTGTATCTCAAGTGTGATACACTCCTTCTTGCTTGCGTCTTTGAAGAATTTCGACAAATTAGTCACCAAACTTATGGTCTGGACTGCGCGCACCATTTTAGTGCTTCAAACTTAGCTGGAGACGCCTTCAAACGTATCTGCAAAGACTCGAATGTTCAGCTTTTATCAGACCGCAGGCATCTCGAAATGATCGAGAATATGATGCGAGGTGGTACTGCATCCGTGTTCCATAGTCGCTTTTTCAAAGCCAACAACAAAGAATGCCCCGACTTCAACCCAGATCAACCTAGCACCTACGGGTTTATGATCGATGCAAATAACCTCTATGGCGGCGTCATGCAAACGGAGAAATTACCGGTGCGTAACTTTGAGCTAATAGAGCATATAGAAGACGAGGTGATTGTGAACCAAATCCTCAACATGACTGAAGACTCTTTGATTGGATTTATATTGGAAGTTGATCTCGAGTATCCAGAAGAACTGCATGAGGATCATCAAGATTACCCTTTAGCTCCTACTAAAGAAAGTGTACCCCAGGATTGGTTGAGTCCCTACCAAACAAATTTACTCGAGCAGATGAAAAATCAAGACATTGCAAGACGTTCAATTGGAAAGACCAAAAATTTACTGCAGACGCTGCATGACAAGTCAAACTATACAATTCATTACAAACTATTGCAATTGTTTGTTAGGTTGGGACTTCAAGTTAAAAAAGTGCACCGTGTGCTGAAGTTTGAACAAGAAGCATGGTTAGAACCATACATCACATTGAACACGACTAAACGACAACAAGCTAGAAATAAATTTGAGGAGGATTTGTACAAACTACTGAACAATTGTGCTTATGGGAAAACATGCGAGTCGAAGCGCAAACGGATGCTTGTTCGGATAGTTAGAGATTATCATGCCGCTTTGCGAGAAATTAGTGCATTCGAATTTAAATCCTACAAAATTTTTGGAGAAAACTTGGCAGCGTTCACTTCGAATCCAACAAAAATCTATTGGGATGTCCCAACAATTGTGGGAGCTAGTGTTCTTGAGTTAGCAAAGTTTCACATGTATAAATTTCATTACGATATAATGAAACCAAATTTTGAATGTCAACTATTGAATTCTGATACAGACAGTCTCCTTTACCAAGTCAAAAGTGAAGATTTATACCGAGAAATTTCCGAAAAAAGGAATATTTTGAATGAACTTGACTTGTCAAATTACCCGAAGAACCACCCTCTCTACGACCCGAAAAACAAAATGGTTGTTTTAAAATTCAAGGATGAGTTTCCAGGAGACATTATAACCGAGTTTATATCCCTCAAACCCAAGCTTTATTCCATTTTGTCCAGAGGTAATTAATTTCTATTTGCCTTATTTGTGAGCACGAATTTCAAAAAATTTTGATTTTTTGTGATTTTTTTTTTCGGAAGGCAATTTTTATTTGTGGGCGAAAAAATGTAATTTTATCAAAAAAAAAAAAGAAATTTGGAAAAAACTTTTTAGGCGAAAAAGTCTAATTTTTTTTGAAATTTTTTTTTTTATGGGCCTTTTTTTTGTGGGCGAATTTTTTTTTTTTTTTTTTTGGAAAAAAAAAATTTTTTTTGTTCGAAAAAAAATTTCGGGCGAAAAGTGTTTTTTGTTTTGAAAAAAAATTGGAAAAAACTTTTTAGGCCAAAAAAAATAATTTTTTTGAAAATTTTTGGTTTTTTTTTGTGGGCGATTTTTTTTTTGTGGGCGAAAATTTTTTTGAAAAAAAAAATTTTGTCGGCAAAAAATTTTTTTAAAAAAATTTTTTTGTCGGGGATTTTTTTTTTGTGTTGGTCGATTGTTTTTTTTTTTTAATGATGACTAATTTTTAAGGTCACACCTGGCCTTCATGTATTTTTTTTTGTTGCACCTGGCCTTCAAGTTAACATGATCTAGCTCTTAAAAAAACATCGTATTTGGTTTTTTTTACCACCACACATTAGTGATCATCAAAAAATTGATTAGTAATCATTTAAATAAAATTTTAGACTGCAGAAAATTATCGGCGAAAGGTGTATCCAAAGCTGCTCAGAAGATGTTGAGTCATCAGCGATATCGAGACACCTTGACCTCTGGCTCGATATTCAAAACTGAAAACAGTCGAATCGCATCCGAGTCACACAATCTGCAAACAGTGACTTCGACGAAAACATCGTTATCAGCTTTTGATGACAAACGCTACATCCTCGATGATGGTCAGCAGACTCTTCCCTACGGTCACAAAAACATCGTGGGTCAAACTGTGATTGGCATTGATGATAGTGATGACAACACAGCCGCTGTTAATTCTGACCCAACTGACGATGACGATTTGGAAAAATGGATGCCATTTTTTGAAGATCGTCAACAGCCAGTGTCGTGGGATTGTGACGATTTCCTAGATGGGGTGTCTGAAGACTTCGCTAACACTCAAAACATTAATTGGGACCATCCGGAAATTGATGATGAATACTCTGAGGATAGTTTTGCTGTTGAGAACACACAACCACATCGCTCGCTTCGACAACTGATGGACCAGGTCAATAGCAGTTGGCAAACTCCAGACCCCGGTCTGATTCGGGCAGCAGAAACCAACGACAGTGATATTGATAGCGGGGATATCGCGGATCTGGAGGCCAATACTTCCGATGAGGACGAGTCGTCATTCTTCAACGATTCGTTTTTCGATTATGAAGCAGTTGAAGTAGAAGAACCACGGTCAAAAAATCGACGAATAGATTAAAACACAAAAAACACCACATTAACTTTTGTATAGTAAATAAAATTCAGTTATTTAATATGAGAATTGTCTGTACATAAAATTTGACCTACCGCAATTCCGCGTTTAGTGTGTATTTAAGTGCGATATTTTGTTCAGCTTTGGAACTCAGTTAATCTGGGATATAAACATTTTCATTTAAGCGATAGTGTCTTTAGCATACTTTTGTATGTATTTGTATGTAATTTGAGTTTGAATCAAAGTTGTAAGAAGAATTGAGCAAACAGTCTATAGCGCAGTTAAACACTCCAGCTGGTTTCAGAACGAAGATTTGGCAAATCCTTTCCCGCTCCAAACATGTAACCACAACGTTCAGTGGGAATACTCAATAATATACCGAAGTTTTACATGAGGACTATTAGGTATAAAATTATACATGGTGACAATTAGGATTATTACATGGTGACCATTGCTGATCATTTAATACATGGTGACCATTATGATTTATACCTAATGGTCATCCATTTATGACAACCCCCCCCCCCCCCGATCCTAACGCACTATATGCATACTACTGAGGTAATATTTTGATAGAAAAAGGGATAATGATCTATTATAATAGATTATGAGATTATAAAAAATTTTCGGAAAAATTATAATCGATTGTAATTGATTATAATTTATTAAAAGGTCACCAAAATGTTATCATTATAAAGGATTATAAACAATTCACAATTAGTTATAATTTTGTTAAAAGTACGATTGTAATTATAATATAATCGATAATTTTCTCTTTTTACTGAGTGCGGGAAGGTTAAAAACTTATTGAAAGACAACAATCCAGCAGATACGTTTTCCGAGCTTGCAACTTCCGAGACGTGAGCTGCTTTTTAAACGCCTTGGTTTTTTTGTCACGCTGTGGTCGACGCGCGTAAAGCGCACTTGTTGCCACTTACAGCCGTTTTTGAAAGACAACTTTTGAAATGGGCTTAAATATGCAGCACAACGAATGCTGTCGAGTTCCGTGGAAGTATGTGGTAGGAAAAAATCTATGCAAACCAATTTTTTCAATGAACGGGGTTTTTTGAGAACTTTTAAGACTTTGTTGACCTGGCATTCTTTCGGCTTTTGACCATTTAGCTATTTGAGCATAGCGTTTATGGACTTATTTTGGACAGTTTTGTTTTAAAAAACGCTTTATTTGGGCGACCGCAAACCCACCACCCCTCCCTTAATATCCCCCCAAAGGTTTTGGTACAAAATAGTACAAAAGGCTTTACAAAATGAATAGTACAATATGCTTTGAGAGTAACAACTTGGGTTCCAACTCTGAGAAGCACCCTTCAATCAAATTCCTCTTTGACTATTTTATTCACAGATCACTTTTTGCACGGCAAACACGCAGTTATTTGATCAAATTTACGGTGTATTTTTATACTTCAAAAATCGTTGCTGTTGTATAGTGAACAGAGAAACAAACAGCAACGTAAAATCAAACAGCTCAAACGTTCCACGCTGGCATTATTTGCGTCGTCAATTAGACAACATAAAAGGCTTAAGATGAGCTGCAAAATTCAAAACTTAATCAATACACTTGGGCTTAACAATCACCTCAATTCCTTTAAACTTAATTCATCAGATTTTAAAATTTCGTAAATTTATCAATTATAAAAAATATTAAGTCCAAAGTTCAAAATACATCATTCTTTAAGTTTCGACATTTGATAGCAAGGCAAATAACTGAATTTATTCATATATAGCCGGCATTTTAATTGAAATTTCGGTCGAACTTCTAAAAAAATTTTGTCTCAAAAAATGGGTATTTTTGCTTCGAAATTGTTTGAACTTTACAAATCATGGGGCAACGAGCAGTCGCGTGTTCTCATGTTGGGACTAGACGCAGCTGGGAAAACGACAGTGCTCTACAAGTTGAAACTGAACGAACAAGTGACCACGATTCCCACAATTGGGTTCAATGTGGAAACTGTAGAGCTGGGCAATGGGTTGTCGTTCACAGTTTGGGACGTGGGGGGACAACAGAAACTGAGACCTCTGTGGCAACACTACTTTCATCATACTGATGGGTAGGTTCAATTAATGATACCGCGAGCCTAGGGCCTAGGGAGAGGTGGGAGGGGGTTGAGCTATCGAAAACCAGATTTTATTGTTTAACTGAAGTAACAATTTTTTTGTGTCTTGTTCGAGAATAAATAGAAAAAATGAGAGGCAAGGAAGAGAAAAGATTGAAAATCAAAAACCTTCCGACCAATTGTTATCGACGCGAGGAAGAAATTTTCAAAGCTTGTCTTTGTTGCAGCTCGAAGAACTATCATCAATGTGGTTATTCATCAATGCGATTAATCACTCAGCACTGCCCAGCGTTTTTTCTGTTTCTGATTTTTTAGTCGTTAAAAAACACCCGAAACCATTTTTTTCTCAACCTCTGAGCTCGAAACAATAATTGTTGTATTATGCTTTCTATTTGCTTTCAGTTTGATTTACATCGTCGACAGCAACGACCCAGAAAGATTCAACGAAGCCCACGAGGAACTCAGTTCGATTATAACCGACGACAGAATGCGAGGAGTGCCTGTGCTCCTGATGGCCAACAAACAAGACCTACCGAATAGCCGAAGTGTCTCGGAAATATCCGAGAGGATGAAGATGCACTCGTTGAAAGACAGAGCTTGGCACGTGCAAGGGTGCTGTGCACCTTCGGGTGATGGGATACTAGAGGGGATGTCTGAGCTGTCGAGAATGGTTAAACAGTTCAAGAAAAATGGAGGCTCTAGATATTAATCCCAATCAATAGAAACCAGATAACAGTGACTTTTTTGAAACTTTTTTTTAGAAATAATTGCAGTGATGTGTAAATATCAAAAGTAGATAGTAGTTAAATCTAACTTAGTTTTATTTATTCATTTTTAATGACCTGTCTGTCTTAAAAAACAGTTTCTGCATAGCAAGCCTATCTCAAATTATAAATCAGACTTTCAAACTGTAGAGTGAGCATGCTTTCTGACACAGACTGGTAAGTCTTCAAAAAATTGACAATAAAAATCTGCTTGTTTCATAACCTTAAAAACATTCTATTTGTAATCGCAAAAGAAAGATCTCTCCCAAAAACTTTTTTTCAGTAGCGCACTACGAGTATGAAAGCGTTTCTTACTGAAAGCAATGCAAAAATGATTTAGCTAGAAAAAAAATATCCTATCCGCTCAAATACTCGATTGCTCATAAAAATGCTACAATCAGAAACTTGCATTACTTTTCTAACAGTTTAAGGTGTGTAATATTGTATAAACCATAGATCTGTAGTTAATCGGTGAAATACTTTATTTGTCATGGGTCCATTCATATAGCTCAAAAGAAGTGCTTTTCTTTCTAAAAACTCTAGTTTTTTTAATTCTGCCCATTACAGATGATTATTAATCCAACTTTCGCGGAATGTGTGGAGCATTTATGCTTGGGGTGGTTTTTTTATTCTGTCAACTTACGACTTTTTAACTTATCATGTTTGACAAAGTTTTTGATACCATCTGAAAGATATTGTTGTCTTGCGCTCAGATTTTAAAAGATATTTTACCTGTGAACATTTTCCACAAAGTTATAATGTTTTGAATTTGGGAATACTTTGGCCACTATAACTCAAATTGGGATGTTCAACGTGCGAAATGTTTCTTTCTATAGAAGCTTACGAGGCAAAAAAAAACATGCAAATTTAACTGAGGCAAGCAATTTGCTCTTTTCAAAACGTTAGCCTGGGCAGAATATATCACTTGGTACTTTTCATAGCTTGTAGGGAGTCGGCTGGTAAAACTTAGAAATGGGATCTGGTTTCATAGTACCTGGATTGTCTTTTTGGCTCTAATGGGGATTAGATTGTGGTTGAACTTTGATACGATGCAGTTCTTGGTCAATTTCATATCTTAGTTTTTGCATAGTAGATCAATTTGGTTGAGACTGTCATTCTGTTTTATGGTTTGTTCCCTAAAACAACGTTTAAGTTGGTTCTTTCGGAGAACGGACTAGTTTATTGGTTTTTTGTGTACATCTAATCTTTCAACTTTTCAGAGTTTTTACGAATCTAGAGAAAATAACGGCTTCGACCTCCATTATTTTGCTTGAATTATTAAAGTGACTTTTTTGGTTAAATTGCGTTGATTTTTTGATTAAGCGGATGAGTGATTGTTCAACATTGTAGATTTTTAGCACCATAGGGAGTTACTGTAGGATTTTTCCAAATATCGGGTTTTGCAAGCTCCTCACCTGACGTCTCGATCAAGAAACTTGATACCACAAATGTGATTGTAAAGCGAGCAAATTCAGGTGAGCTGAGAAGTCAAAAATTAGCTGCCTCATCTGAGTTGTCAGAAGATAAAGTGAAGTGATTGCAGCCGAGATGGATTTAGGGGGGGGGGGGTGATTGATGCTACTTCTTAGGGATTCGACCCCCTGCCGACCCAAAGGGGTCGCTCTTTGTACTATTTGAGATATCCACTTTTGGTTGACTGACCTTTAAAGTTTTCTAAAGGCGCCTTTGGCGCCAATACATACTAATTTTGAGGGGGGAGTGCGAGCCAAAAAACGCGAGTTTTTGGTCAGCATTTTCCATAAAGTGCCTAAAAACGCCTTTTTTGGCCTGTTTTTCAAAATTTTGCCTGCGGCGCAGACAATTTGACTAAAACAGGGTCTTTTTAATTCACAAGGGAGCTCTGAAATTCACTTTGGTCGACCTATAAAAAAGGTCGACAAAATTTTCAAAAATTTTTTGAAAACCCGCCCCCCCCTCCCCTTGAGAAAATCCTAGATCAGCCTCTGATTGTAGCTCTAGCAGATTTATGTGATCCGATACTTAATTAAGCAGACACAAGACTCTTTTTCATTACTGAAAACATTTCGCACGTTTAGCTGTTGCTGTTGACTTGATTTGAAACGTCGAGATTGAGCTGTTTTGTAATGCTGCTGCAGTTTTTTCAATTATGTTGTTGCAATAATGGTAGATGCCATTTGGAAGGTTTCTAACGGAATAATAGAAATTGATAATGAGTCAAGTTGAGCTGCTGTGGATACCAAAATGTTTTTTTTTCTCCGAAAGTTGTTGATGAAATATCGCTGAGTAGATGAGCATTCACTAAAACTGAGATGGCCTGAGCAGCTTAAGCAAAAATTTTGTTTTTTATCATAACCGTACCTCTGATCTACGGAAACTTTGAAGAGTTAGAGGAATTTTCAAGAGTTCAAGATTTCCAAACAAATCGCTTTTCATTGGACATACCGTCTCTGCTTTTGACTTTACTACTGTTTTTGCCGATTTCTCACACCTCACTACCTGTTGCTATCTGGGCACCCAACGTCGTGTTTTAAACTGGCTTGTTAGTAGTGATTGATCTTGATGGAAACAAAAAATAGTAGTGTAGGAATACACCGAAGTTGGATAGAACTAGTTTGACAGCAGTTAAGTTAGTTCTCAAAGAAACTTTTGTAATCGCGATGACGCTGTTTTGTGTGAAGTCAGAGAAATGTTAAATGTTTGGTTGAGGAGAATTAGAATTGGTCGAGTTTGAGTCGATAGTAAAAGTCTGAGTTGTGAAATCAGCATTGGTAGTAGAGATGACGTTCTTGGTTAACCTTTTTAAGTAGTATTTGGGCTTCCAGCTGATGCTGATTGCCGCAGAAGTGCTTTGCACTTGTGATATGCTGCTGAACAAATTTAAATCTTCGTTAGCTAGAAACTTCTTGTACTTTCGCAGTTTAGTCAGTATATCGCTGAAGTAGCTTTGAAGCAAAGGTTAAGGCAGCCTTGAGCGTCTTGGGTTGAAACATCAACTATATTTCAACCTAAGAATTCGTATGCTTTTGCTTGATTTTTGCTTGATTGGTTTCTCCTAAACTGTTAATTTCTGAGCCATCGTTAGAGGTAGTTGTTGAGATGTTAGCAGTTCATGAGACTAGTTGTGTAGTCAGGTTGCTTTTACTAAATCAGATGGCAGTGATCGACATGTTTTTAATCTTTAACGGAGGCTTTTAGACAAGCAGTGGAACTTGGCCGAAAATACAAAATGATTTTTTGACCAACGAGAATATTTTGCTATGAAAGGCTTCATTAAATTTACAATAGTCTGTTATACTACATATTTGTTCTTTTGTCGTTAGTGCTAATAAATTTGGCTTCTAAAATTTAGGTTTCTAACAAAATTGTACAAAGATCTCACAGATTAAACAATTTTCCGATCAATTCTCGTGAACTTACTAATTTCAGAATTTGAAGGGTTTTGTAGACTCGAAAAATAGGTCTCAATTGTAAAAGAAAAGTTAATAACATCGAATTGTCGCTAAAAACATTTGAAATTTTTTAGACGTGGGGTAATATAGCATAGCGTAGAATGGAATAAATGTAACCAGGGACGGATCTAGGACTTTCTCGAGGGGTGAGGGGCGGATTTTCAAATAACTTTCAAAAATTTTGTCGAATTTTTTTAGGTCGACCAAATTGTTTTGCAGAGCTCTCCCAAAACACTATAAAAAGCTCATTTTGACCAAAATTTCTGCGCCGAAGGCAAATTTTTGAAAAGTTTTGACCCCCTCAAAAATATTATAAATTGGCGTCTTTAGAAAAATTTTAGGGTGAGTCAGCCAAAAATGGATATCTCAGAACAGTACAAAGGGGGGACCTTTTGGGTCAACAGGGGGTCGAATTCCTGAGGCGGGGTAGGATGGATTGGAAAAAAAAGTAAAACAGTGTAAAAAGTGCCCGGTTATTCTTTTTTATCCAAATAAAGCTCTTGATATGATTTAACTTGAAAAAAAAAACAATTTTGTGAAGCTGCAGTTTCAATTAAAATACGAGGCCAAAATGTGCTCTGGATAGGGGCACAATTTTGTGTGTGTAGATCACTGAAGTCCAGAGACAAGTCTTTGTTGAACGTGTTGAATTTTTGTCAATTCACAAAATACAGTTTGGCCTCGTATGTACTAAGCAAGGTTCTGTTCTAAAGCGTTGCTCAAGTTTCTGTTCTAGTTTCACTTCAAAGATATTTTGTCTTTCGCTTCAATTTACCATCCAAGTTGTTTACTATCCTGATACTCAGTGTGGTAGTGATTCCAGTTTGCTCCTTCGATGTTCCTGTTGTCCAGCCAGAACTCATCGGCTACGTCGACTCTGTTATGACTGTTCAATCCGCCCAATTTTCGCCCACAACACGTCATCACAACGTAGACTAATAATACCACCAGAAAAACAGAAACAATACAAGTCCCGACAATTATTAACCAAGTGCGGTCGGCGGTTTCGTCTTCTGAAAATTCAAAGTTCGAAAAATAGTTCTTCTCGAGCAGACGAAAGTTTTCGTTCCAAAATCGAGCTGCTTCGATGTCACTTTCGAATTGCGTATATGCATCTGAGATTGAGATGTTCCCGACCAACGCAACGTCTAACATGCAAGCAGAGTCTCCCCGGCATATCTAAAACCGGTTAAACATAAAGTCAAAATTAAAAACTGGTAGCATTTTTTATCATAATATCATATAAAAAGTTATGCTATAGGTATTCAAATTTTCCAAGATTCAAAATTTTTCAAAAAAATATTGAAAAAGGTACAAGAAAAAGTTAGAGTTTGGGGAAACACTTATATTTGAAGACGCTCTTGCATAAAAGTGTAGAAAAACCAAAAAGTCGAAGTGTCTTCAAATCTTAATTAAGATTAAGACCATTTATCCACGTGGGAAAGGACAAATACAAGAGCTGTACCACTCATCAGGGCGAACCGCTGTTGTGCTCCTGTTTAAGAACTACAAGCAATTTTTTTGGCTTAATTCAAAACTAGACCTACAACATGGCCCTTCCTATAGATTTCGACTCCATCATAGCCTGAATGGACCATGATAATTCCCAAACAGGTTCCCCGCAACCAGTTTCAAGAGTTAATAATCAACTATAATACGATTTTAGTACCAGTCTTACAAAAGTTGAGAAAAAATCGATTTTACTCAATTAATAATCGATTATAATCTCTCTTTTTGAAATCAAATATAATCAATTATAATGCATAATAATCGATTATAATCGATTGTTTTTATCCAAATTTCTAATTTAATTGTTTTGCTGAAAAATCCATTATAATCGATTATAATTGTTTATAATCCCTCTTGTTTTCCCATTTTGTCTTCGACCGTTCACCTACCGTAGGATTCTTTCAACTAGTATGAAAGGATCTCTATGAAACTTTTGTTTTGTGGTAAAATTTTGTGTTCAAGTGAACTAAAGAGTGTGACATGACATCTCACTTTTAGAGATTTTTGACAGCAAAAAGGATTATAATCTATTATAATAGATTATAATTCTTTATAAGAGACAATAAAATATTTTCGGAAAAAAGTAAAATCAATTATAATTGATTGTAATTTATCATAATGTCACGAAAAATTTTTATCATTATAACGGATTACAAATGGTTAAAACATGTAAATTTGGCGCTTATATTTAATTACAATTTTGATAAAAGTACAATTATAACTGTAATATAATCGATATTTTCTCTTTTTACTGAGTGCGGGCATCAACTGACTAAACCGGTAGCTTTTTGCCTTTTCTTCGAAACTGCATGGTGAGCAGAACAGTATGGCAGACCTAGTTCTATTTAGTTTTTCTCCGTTTTCTTGAAATTTCGGAAAATAGTTTTGCTTACCAACAAAACAGCAGACGCAGACTTAGATATCAGAAAAAATGGACAATTTTTTATCTTTATTAAAGTTTGAGAAAAGTAGCCTGATTAGCGAGAAGGCGCAGTTGTTCATTTGCGATGATGTTGTCGTAGTTTGGATCAAAAGGGAGTCCTTCTTCAAAGTCGGAGTCAATGGAAACTATGGTCTCTTCTTGTCTGAACAACCACTCTCGTCTAGGCACTTTCCAGCTCTCGCCAAATGTTTTATGAAGGTGCAAGTAATCGCCATTCGCTTTCACGACAGATCCATCTAAAAACAAAATTTTTTCTTGTATGCAAAACAAAATGAAAAAACCTGCATTTAATTTTGATACACAAATCAAATTTTCCAAAAAAAAGTAGCCATTTCCACGGGTTTTATTTTCATTGATTAGGAAGTAGCGATATGAAATTCGAATAATTACCGATTAGAGAGAAATACCTAGCAATAAATTTACTTTTTTGTTCATTATCGCCTATTTCTGTATCTTTATCAAGAAAAAGTCCAACCATGAGATCTCAGTAGCTTGTCATGGACAGCTACTGTTGCCTTTGATTAAATAACTTGACATATTTTTTTTATAAAAATTTTCCATTACATCAAGAATGAATTGCGACTAACTGGAGGCTTCGAAATCGTTGTCTGGGTCTCCGTCGTAATATCCCAGGAGTCCCCTCATCTGAAACTTGAACGAGGGAGGAACTGAGATCTTAAGGTTGAGGAAGTTCTGAATCACATACACTTCCACAATCAACATATTCCCCAGAAACTGAAATCGAACGCTTTTCAAATCATCTCTCTCTTCCACTGCAACATTGGCCAGGATATATTCCCTGACAATTTCTCCCAGTGTCTTCTCGAAGTTGTTAATCACTAATTTAAAAGCTGCACTTTTGTCAAGGTACACTTCTAGGAGAGTGTTTCCATGTTTGACTGCTATCCCGCTGAACACAGTCCCGTTGCCGACCCTCCGCATGCTAGCTTGTAGTTCAGTCTGACCCCCGATAGAAGATGAGTCATCAGTGATGAGCATCCTGTAGACCCCCAGCCCCATGAAGGGGTAGCTCACTCCGTCCACTGTCTGCAAGTGGGGGTCTCCTCTGTTTATGAGGACGTTACGAGGCCAGTACTCGCCAATGATAGTCGGGCGGTGCTTTTTGTAAATATCTTCGCAAGAAGTATTAGATGGATGATGCCGCTTATCACAGCAAACTTCAAAGGGTTCGACTTCACTCAGGTAATGCGCAGCTAGATTTTTAATGGAATTATGTTCACGATGCATGTTTCCCGCTTGTCGTGTAGTAACAGACTCGATGTATTCTATTAAATTATCACCGTCGTCGTAACAACATTGGTTAGATACCATTATATTTTCGGGGTTGGAGTTAATCTGAGCATTGCAAGCCAATTGTGGCGACCGGATGCAGAACTGTGGCGTGGAATCACCAGCAGCCCGTCGCTTGAACTCACACTCTTCGCTACTGCAGTATCCCGATCTGCCCAGCTTAGCTCGAGTCTCGGTGTCATTTTGGTTGCAGCAGATGTCATACTCCCATCCAGATATGCCATTCGCAACCTCTTGGTGAGCCCACCATTCGTCCCGTGTCGGTAACCTGTCTGGAAGCTCTTTAACCCATCGAGGACATGGGTACCATACCCGGAGTTGTTCTGTGCACGATGTATAGTTGTTCAGACTTTCATTTGAGTCCCAACCTAAGCAACTTGTCGAAGGAGTGTCTTCGATCTTATTCGATTGAAGAACTATGGGTAAAGAGTCGCATGTTCCTGCAACGCAAAAAATAAGAAGCTTCGAACTAATTTTTCAATGTACATTTCAGAGAAAAAACATCATTTCTTGTTTCGATAACTACCATATACATTCAATCAGATAATGCAAACAAGGATGAGTTTAGAGCACGAAATATTTAAGGGTACAGTGAAATGCGCAAAAATTTCTTGACGGAGGACGGCTTTACAAAAAAATAGCCAACAGACAATTGGAAAAAGTCAGTGACCGCAAAAAAAAAACTAAAAAAAAAATGTTTTTTGAAAAAATCTCAATTTCTGAAGAAAAAAAAAGATGTCCTTAAAGTTCTTTGAATTCAGGGGCGAATTTTGAGGAATGGATGCTTAAGGAAAAATTTTGAGGAAAAAAAAAGCTTAAAACGGCTTTTTTAGCCTGTGCTTTCAAAATTTTGCCTGAGGCGCAGAATACGTGGCCAAAACAGGGTCTTTTTTAGTGCTTTGGGAGAGCTAAGAAAAATCCTAGATCCGACCTTGTTTGAATTTCTAGAAAATCTTATGATTGACTTTTTTTGATAAGTAAAACCAACTTGTCGAAACTGCGAGACTTTTCCTGATTTTTTTTTCAAATTACCGCCGTTATATTTGCGTGGTGCGATAAAATGAAAAAAAAACTTAGGCATATTCGCTATTCATAGTAAAACAGGCCCATTTCAAGTTAATTGTTTGGGAAAATGATTAGAAAAACCAAAAAAAATGCTCAGAAAACTCAAAAAAAAATTTCTGATGTTGAAGTTTTGATTCCCAAATTGGCTTTAAAAAATCCAAAAACAAAATTTACTCGAGTAAAATCAAGTTTGCATGGCTTAAATTAAGCATAAACAAGCTTTTGTAGGCCTGCTTAGCCTCACTTTATTAGCTTGAAATCAGATCAAAAATCAAAACTTCAATCTAGTTTTTCTTGTCACTGATATTTTTTTTTTAAAAATTTTCGAATGTTGTTCGAATCACGAGTGAAATGGCTTTAATATAACTTAACAATCGATCCATTCCAATCATTATTTGTGGTACCTGATTTCGCGTGCAAAACAAAAAAGGCAACAAAAACTAAAACACATCCGAATACAAAGTTCCTCCACATTTTTCGAATAGTAGGAACAAAAACCAATTTCAAAAATGAAATTGAATTTGAAACACAATCAAGTTTTCTTAGCTTCTAAAATGTCTAATAGAAGTATCTCTTGCATCAATTTTTCAATAACTTTACAAGCAAAATTTCTCATGAATCAGTGACTGCATAAGAGTTGTATCAGCAGAGCAGTGAAAGAAATTGAAAGTATCGCTTTAAAGCAATGTCGGTAAAAACTTTCCATGAGAGCTTTGAATTTTTTTCATAATATTTGGAACAAGCTTACTGATTAGTAATATATGAAAACAGAAAATGAGAAAGTTAGGCCGACTCATTCAGCAGACCAACTTTAACGAAACAAAAACGTATGTGCAATATTGTATGAGCACTCACGCTCATATAATTGAAATTTTTAAAAAATTTTTCCTTGAGTTTAGGACCATAAGACACTCCATCTTCGAAGTTAAAAATAGATCATTAGATCTATTTTAATGAAATTTTGTACAGAGTGTAAGGTAAAATAAAAACACGCAAAAAACTATTATCAAAGTAAAATGGATTAAAACAAGTTTGTTTTTGATTTCAAACAATGAAATAAAATCTATTGTTAATCAATATATAGAACCATATTTTTGTTTGGTTCACCCCTATATCTCAGTAAAACTAGAAGAAAATCTCTATTTCCTCTAGAAAAAACGCAGAGCTGTTTCTTCTCATCAAGGGCTGCCAATTTTACCAAAATTATCAAAACTGCGGTCAATAACGCCAAATTTATCCCGGGAGCACCCAGTTGTGCCAAAATAATCCCTAGTTTTCGGAAAGGGGAAGCGGTTAACATGGGTAACTAAATTAGGGGCGGATCTAGGATTTTTTCAAGGGAAGAATAGATTTTTGAAAAAATCAAAAATTTCGTCTTTTTTGTAATAGGATGACCGAAGTCTTATTCTCAACTCTCCCCGAACACTATACGTGACTTATTTTGCATTAAAATACTGTGCCGCAGACAAAATTTTGAAAAATTAGGCCAAAAAGGCCTTTTCTGCGCAATTTTTTGGACGAATATGGAAAAGAATTTTTTTCGTGTGCCTAGGCTCCTCAAAACGCGTACTTTATGTTCAGTTAACTATATGGATATTGTAGAATATCGCCAAAACGAACAACTGAAATAAAAAAACATCCCTTGTCTAGAATATAACTGTAACCTTAAACCTAACCCTTAACCCCGCCCTGACTAGTACAATAGCCCTCTGAGTATAACTGCAGTAGAAAATATTCTGATTTCCTATTATAAATCTAATCGAGCCACGCCCATGCAATTTCCGCATCTTTATAACCAGGTTTCGTTTTAGTTATAGGTTTTACGGCGAAAAATATTGAGACCGAAGCTCTAACCGTTCAATGAGAATTCGACGACATATGATCCACTGTTTGCGAATGTATCATTGATATTGTAGCTGTACTGTAAACTGCCCGCTGGAATTGTAACCTCCAGAGTAGTGCCATTAGGGTCTAAGCATGCATTGGTTATTCAACTTCATCTGCCAAAAATCTTTAACTTCCAAATTTCAAAGAAAAAACATGTACCCCAAATCAATAGTTGTTTTGGGGCGGTACATTAATAGTTACATGTACCCAAAATTAATTTTATGACCAGAGCTATTGAGCTAAAAAGTAAACTGTTGTCTTAATCAACTTTGATCTAAAAGTTTCAAGTTTTAAAACTTTAAGCGAAAGACAAAAATTCAGCCTCGAAATTATGCTATGTAATTTGACCAAGCTAATATAGCATAAACCGAAACAGTTTGATTAAAAAAACACAAAAAAAAACAAACATTCATACCGAGGCGAAGCCGAGCTTCGCACCATTTGCGGTACAACACAAACATATAAAAGTCGAAAAAAGGAAAAAAGCTGAAAAAAGTGGGATGACCCACTTTTTTGTATGTCCCCTCGAAAGATAAATGGGGGCCCAGTTAAAGCTGGAGGTACGTATTTGATATTTTTTAAATTTGTTACACTGATGCGGCAATGAATGCGTAATTTGAACAATTTGTTTCTCGAAAAAAAATATGCGAGAAGAGTGAAAGTTTTTGAGATATTGGAGTTTTATCGAGGAAATCATCTTTCTCTTACAAAAACTTAGAACGCCAAAAAAGAAAAACGCAGAAAAAATTGGATGAGCCACATTTTTTGTACGTTTCGCTGAAAGCAAACTAGAGGCCCAGCTAATTCTGGAAGTTTGATATTTTTTGAGTTTATTAAACAGATGCTGCAATGAATGCGTAACTTCAATAACTGAATTTTGTCTAAAACCTTAGTTTTTTCTCAACAAAAATAAGAGAGAAAAAGGAAATTTTTCGGGACATTGGAGTTTTCTCCAGGATATCAGATTTCTCTTACAAAAAAATTGAAACGCCGCTTCGGCAGAAAAAACATTCATTTAACTGTTTTTTTTTTTCATTTAATTTTTCATCTCAGAATTGATCGGGTATTTTTTAAGAAAGATTAAAAAAAGTTCTGAAAAACAGTCAAACGTTCAAAAACTTGACTGTAAGAAATTTTTTTTACGAAAAACAGATCGTGGCCACTAGAGCAGAGAAGATTCCCAAAACCGGGTTTCTCGATTATTCACTTAATCTGAGAATTAGAACAAGAGTCTTCAAATAAAGTCACAAAGTTTGCATAAAAAACATCAAAACTTCGAAATTTTGACTTGCTTTAAGGCCATAACTTTTTAAAAAGGTAGAGATAGCTCCAAATACAAGCTAACAATACAATATCGTCTTTGAATGCAAATATTTAGCAAACCAAAAAAAATCTCCACCTTTTATTTCAAATCGTTTTTTAGGAACGATTGAATGTTGCCAATTTCCTGGTCCGACAAAATTAGAAAAAATGAACAAATTTGTGTTGCCTGATAGTTCAACAAAATAAGACGGAAGTCGAAATTTTTGATGAAAAAAAATGAAAATTTTAATTTAAATGTTTTTGTAAGCAATTCTACAAAGCATTGAGCGTCATTAGTCAAGCGATAACTGAGACAAAAAATTATGAGGGTGGACCTTACTTAGCCAAAAATATATCTGTTTTCTTAACAAATTTTGAGTTAGAGTTTTTTAAGTTTCAAAAATGTCTTAACGACCGATCCGTATTGAAATATATATTCGCACAAGAAAAAATTTTGCCATCAAAATTATGCAATATAAATTGATCAAACTGATTAAGCTTAAACCGAAAATGTTTAATAAAATAACTGAACACAAATATTCACACAGAGGCGAAGCGGAGCTTCATAACACTTGCAATAAAACACTAACAAAAACAAATATAAGTGGAAAAAAACGAAGAATTAGAAAAAACTAAGTCAATCAGATTTTTTGCATGCATCGATAAAAAACTAAGGGTCCAGCGAAAACTGTAAATACCTAATTGAAATTTTTTTTATGTTTTCCTTGAAAAAATTTTGAAAAAACTAGATGAACCCATATTTTGATAAGTCTCGATATAAGAAACTTGGGGCTCAGCCAAAGCTGGTGGTACCTGCTGTTTGATATTCTACTGCTTTGTTAAAGTGATGCGGGAAGAAATGCGTAATTTCAAAAACTGGACTTTGCCCAAAACCTTAGCTGTTTCAAAACGGTCGAGAAACGAAAACTTGGTTTCCGATATCCATAAATATTTCTGCAAAAGAGCAGGTAGTCGCGCGCTAGAGCAGAGAATATTCCCAAAACCGAGTTTCTCGATTGAACACTCAACCTGAGAGTTGGCTCGGTAGTATTCGAGCAAAGTCACAAAGTTTAGAAAAACTCATAAAAATTTCAATACTTTGACTTGCTTTAAGGTCGTAACTCTTTTATAAAAAATTGTGCAAAGCCAATAAAAAGGAAAAACTTTAAGCAACCTGCTGTTTTGATTCATTACATGACATCAGATTTGGCAATATAGTTATCGAGAAAAATTCAAAATTGTCAAAAATCATAAGCTAGACATTTCCGAAAACCAGAGTTTTTTTCTGTTAAAACAATTGGGCGCTCAAAAAAGTAAGCTAATATAGCTTCAACCGAAACTATTTGATAAAAAAAAGTTGAGCAGAAATATTGACACAGAGGCGAAGTGGAAATACTGATGCAAGAAGAAATGCATTAATTCAAAAACTGTACTTTGCTCAAAATCTTAGCTGTGTCAAAACAAAAAAAAACTGGATGCTCCAAAATCCAAAAATTTTTCTGCAAAAAACTGAAAAGGGCTCAGCCAAAGCTGGAGGTACGTGTTTGATATTCTTTGAGAATAATATACTGTTGCAAAGTTAAATGCATTATTTCAAAAACTGGACCTTGCCCGAAACCTTAGCTGTTTCAAAATGGTCAAGAAACAAAAACTTTACTGCCGATATCCATAAAAATTTCTGCAAAAAAGCAAGTAGTGGCGCGCTAGAGGACAGAAGATTCCCAAAACCGAGTTTCTTGATTGAACACTCAACCTGAGAAATGGCACGGTAGCTTCCGAGCAAAGTCACAAAGTTTCGAAAAACTCATAAAAGCTGCAATACTTCGACTTGCTTTAAGGAAGTATTTCTTTTATAAAAAAAAAATGTGCGAAGCCAATAAAAAGGAAAAACTTTCAAAAACCTATTGTTTTGTTTCATTATATATCAGATTTGGCAATATAGTTATCGAGAAAAATTCAAAATTGTCAAAAATCATAAGCTAGACATTTCTGAAAACCATAGTTTTTTCTGTTAAAACAATTCGGCGCTGAAAAAAGTAAGCTAATATAGCTTCAACCGAAATTATTTGATGAAAAAAGTTAAGCAGAAATATTTACACAGAAGCGAAACGGAAATACTGATGCAATAAGAAATGCATTAAATCAAAAACTGTTCTTTGCTCAAAATCTTAGCCATGTCAAAACAAAAAAAAACTGGACGTTCCAAAATCCAAAAATTTTTCTGCAAAAAATGAAGGGGGCCCAGCCAAAGCTGGAGGTACGCGTTCGGTATTCTTTGAGAATAATATACTGTTGCAAACTTAAATGCATTATTTCAAAAACTGGACCTTGCCCAAAACCTTAGCTGTTTCAAAAAGGTCAAAAAACAAAAGCTTGACTCACAAAATCTATAAGTATTTCTGGAAAAAAGCAAGTATGGGCGCGCTAGATCAGAAAAATTTCCCAAAACTGGTTTTCTCGATTGAACACTTCAACTAAGAATTGGCACTGTGATTTCCGAGCAAACTCACAAATTTTCGAAAAATCCAAAAAAGTTTTAATACTTTGACTTGCTTTAAGGCCGTAACTTTTGTATAAGAAATTGGGCAAATCCAAAAAAAAGGAAAACTTTAACAACCTATTGTTTTGATTAGTTCTATAAACTCAGATTTGGCAAAAGAGTTATCGAAAAAATTTCAAAAACTGTCAAAAATCAAAAATTGACATTTCCGAAAATCATAGCTTTTCGTGTTAAAAAAGTTGGGCGCTGAAGAAAGTAAGCTAATATAGCTTCAGCCGAAACTGTTTAAACGAAAAAAAAATTATAAAACAGAAGCGGAGCTTCGGACCACTTGCGATACAAAACAAACAAAAACAAACATGAGCAGAAAAGCTTGAAATTTTTTAAAAAATACTAGGTGAACCAGATTTTTCGCCTTCCTCAATAAAAAAAACTAGCGGTGCAGCTGAATTTGGCTGTACTTATTTGATGCGATTTTTTTGATGTTTGTTTTGAACGCAGGTCGGAAAAAGCAAAAACAAATGAGAGAAAAACTAGATGAAACCAATTTTTGGTAAGTCTCAATAAAAAGACAACCAGTGGGTCCAGCCAAAGCTGGTGGTACGTGTTTGAATTTCTTCGAAAATGTTATACTGATGCAAGAAGAAATGCATTAACTCAAAAACTGCACTTTGCTCAGAATCTTAGCTGTGTTAAACGGTAAAAAAAACGTGACTTTCCGAAATTCATAATATTTTCTGCAAAAAAAAACGGTAGTGGCGCGCTAGATTAGGAAAGAACCCCAACAATTAACATGAGAACTGGCACGGTAGTTTTCGAGCAAATTCACAAAGTTTCGAAAAAATTATCAAAATTTCAATACTTTGACTTGCTTTAAGGCCGTAACTTTTTAAACTTAGGGCCATTTAAAAAGAGAGGCCTTCATTAACTCGTTGTTTTGATTCAACATATAATATTCCAAAAAACTGTCCTCAAATCAAAAACTTGACATTTCTGAAATTTATAGCTTTTTGTGTTAAAAAAATTGGGCGCTGACAAAATTCACGCAACTTGTCAGCTCGTTTGAACCCAATAATTCAAATTTTGAAAGTAGGTCGCGAGATATGCCAAAAACTTTTACAAAACGGTCTAAACATCAACACTTTTTCTTTTCCGAGGAGCACCATTTTTCATTTCACGTAGAGGCGTAGAATTGTATTGAGAGTAGCCGTTTATGCAGGGAGCTTCCCCAACCCATAATATCCTTTGAACCCAAAGTCTCAGAATTCAGAGAAAATTTCTACAGATAATCAAAAAAAAAAACTTTTTAAAAAAAAACGGTCAAAGCTGGTGGTACGTGTTTGATTTTCTTCGAAAATGTTATACTGATGCAAGAAAAAATGCAATAACTCAAAAACTGCACTTTGTTTGGAATCTTAGCTGTGTCATAACGGTTTAAAAAACGTGACTTTCAGAAATCGATAATATTTTCTGCAAAAAAAACAGGTAGTGGCGCGCTAGATTAGGAAAGAACCCCAACATTTAACATGAGAATTGGCACGGTAGTTTTCGAGCAAATTCACAAAGTTTCGAAAAAATCATCAAAATTTCATTACTTTGACTTGCTTTAAGGCCGTAATGTTTTAAACTTGAGGCCATTTAAAAAGAGAGATTTTCATTAACTCGTTGTTTTGATTCAACATATAAAATCATATTTGAAAAATTTGTTATCGAGAAAAATCCAAAAAACTGTCCTCAAATCAAAAACTTGACATTTCTGAAAACTAAAGCTTTTTTTGTTCAAAAATTGGGCGCTGACAAAATTCATGCAACCTGTAAGCTCGTTTGAACCCAATAACTCCGAATTTGAAGGTAGGTCGAAAACTTTTACAAAACGGTCTAAACATCAAAAATTTTGATTTTCGGAGGAGCACCATTTTTTTTCACGTAGGGGCGTAGTATTTTATTCAGAGGAGCTTCCTACAAACCAACCTCTGGGCGTAGTATTGTATTCAGAGGATATTCCTATAACCCATCCTCTGGATTGAACCATGAATGTCAGGTATGGAAGGGTAGTTTTGGAAAACTCGAAAAACCTAAAAAGGGCAAAAAACATTTGTGAGCGGCCTCTGATGCAGAGGAGCTTCCCCTACCCGTTATATCCCTTGTACTTATATACGTTCATCCTGCAGATTTGGGAGGTTGGTTTTTAGAAAAGACAAAAAACTTCGAAGACGATCACAACTTCGACAATTTGACTTTTTCGAGGGATATACTTTTTTGTGTAAAAAAATTGAGAGTAACCGTTTATGCACGGAGTTTCCCACAACCCATAAAATCCTTTGAACCCAAAGTCTCAGAATTCAGAGAGTAATTCTCCAGATAATCAAAAAATTTTAAAAAAAAACGGTCAAAACATCAAAATTTTGCCTTTTTCCGAGGGCCTTAATTTTGTGCCAAAAAAATTGAGCGTAGACACCTATGCAAAAGAGTTTTCCAGAAACCAATTTTTGGATTGAACCATAAATCTCAGATATGGAAGGGTCATTTCCGAAAAATCATGAATTGAAAACAGGCCCAGCAATAAGTTTCTTTGTAAAAAAAAGTGTCAATGGCCGCTAGTGGCGAGGAGTTTCTACACGTCATCTCTATTCGACACTTAATCTCAGATTTAAGCGGTTAGCTTTCGATAAAAGAAGTGCACAGTAACATATATAAATACTTTGTTTTCAAAAACATGACTCCATTTTCATTTTCGTCACAAAAGTCACCTGCTATGAAAAACTGCTCGTTTACTCTTTTCAATTTTTCAATTTTCTGAGCTTCAGTTTCAAAACAAAATGCAGAAATTGAATTTAAAAAAATTTCAGGTTAATTTAACACAGCATGTCGACTTTGTTTTTATCTGCAGAGAAATTTTTAGGATCTAAGGGAGCGTGGTGAAGTGGTTGCGTCTCCAGCTCGCAATCAAAAGGTCGGTTATTCGAGGATAACCATGATCAGCGCTCGTTGTTTGAGGGTGAGGCAATATTAACCAGCCCAGAAAAGTAGCCAAAAAAGTGCATGAACAAGTAAATACACAATGATTTTAATGACAAACTAGATGACCTTCTATTAAATGGGTTACCTCTTCAATTCAAGTAATCTTTCTGTAAAATAGAACATAATTAAAACTTACATTTAACGCTCAAATCTGTGATGTTTTTAGGGCAGTTATGAAATGATACAGAAACGTTGCTGCCGACCACAGAATCGACTTCCAACGTATAATTTGAATCCTTGTGGGTATATACAAACAAAAATTTCTCCCCTGACAAAGGCACTTCGTCAAGGGTGATATACACAGCCGAAGGTCCAGTAAAACTAACATCTAGTGAATCAGTTGTAACAACTCGAGTATTCGCATCGTAAGTAGCCTCTCGAACTGACTCTTCTTTCTGAAATTTCAAGCCCACTTTGAAATTGGGCGGGAGATCGCAGTCTGAAACAGTGAATTGAACACTTTCTTTTCCTTTCTGCACCAAAGATGGTTCCAAGGGTCCATCGCATATCGCTTGAATATCCAGCAAATCAATGGGAAGAGGACCCATCTCCTGGACCGGAGAAGAATCCGATTCGTTCAGCTCAAACGCCCAAATTCCGTCATTGCCGATGTTAGAATAAGCCCACAGATTACGAACAGCAGGTGTTTTTGAGAATGGCAGAGTGTATATTTTTCCTGAAATGGGCTTTGAATTAAGATCTTTCACCATTCAGTAGCTATTATACTAAGTAACACATGCCTTGACTGATTATTTGAATAAAAAAGACTCCCTCGCATCATTTAGTACACATCAGTCAACGCTACCAAGTTAACCATCTCCCTCTAGAATCAATTCAAGGAGGACATAGTTCAATTGGTTAAAAGCACTCTTTTTAAGCCAATTAATATTTGGCATTTTTCATGTTGATATTTTGCTGAAGTTTGCATTTTATTTTTAGGGAGAAAAAACTAGAAAAACTAGAAAAAACTAAAACATTATAAAAAGATAGAAAACAGGCAAAATTGAATTGCTAACTTTTCTAATCATTTGATATAAAAATTAGGTTCAAGAGAAAAGTCCAATTAAAATGTCGAACCAAAAAATAAAAATTTCAAAAATTGATCAATCAAAAACATAAAATTTTTGTAAATCATTATTAAAAAGCCTTATCGTCGTATCGTGTCATCCAATATCCATGACTCCATGCCAAAAAAATTTGATGAAACATAACTTCGTCGATGAAAAGACAACCTAACCGAAAGGAGCTAAATTTGACCCAGAAGCGACGCTGAACTTCGCAAACACAAGCGATAAAACGGTGATAAATAGCTCTAAAAAGATTAAAACGTGAAGGAAAGGAAAAGTGAAACTAGAAAAGTTGAAAAAATAATTTAAAAATTCCTGATTTATGCCGCAAATAGATATTTGACTTGCTCTGTTGATTACGAGTCCACGATTCTTCACAATTACCGCATCTTCTCCAGGTTCTCTTGGAAATACACCAACATAAGACAATAAGTTTCATTGTAAGAAAATATCAATGGTCGCTAGTGCACGGGAGCTTCTACGCGCTATCTCTAATCATCACAAAATCTCAAATTTGGGAAGTTAGTTTTCGATAAAAGAAGTGCACAGTAACATCTAGAGTTATTTTGATTTCAAAAACATGACTCCTTTTCTTAGTTTTGTCACAAAAATCAACTGCTGTAAGAAAACTGCTCGTTAGCTCTTCTCAATTTTTGAAAAATTTTGGAGCTTAAGTTTCAAAACATAACGCAAAAATCGAATTAAAAATGATTTCAAGTTAACCTTACCTAGTCAGGCCGCGAGGCGCAATCTGGGTTTTTGGCTTTTTGCTAAAAAGATTTAAAACGTGAAGAAAGAAAAGGTGAAAATAGAGAAGTTAAACATAAATAAAATAAAATTTCTGACTTATGCCGGAACAAGCATTTGACCTGTTGTGTTGATTAGGAGTCCATGACCCTTCACGAGTACCGCATCTGCTCCAGGTTCTCTTGGAAATATACAAACAGAAGTCAGCAATTGAGCAGATACACGTGCTAGTAAGTTGCCGATGCTATGCATTGAACCATAATTGTCAACAAATGAGCAATTTTAGTAGCGAGTTAGCCTACAAAAAAAGCACTTCGTAACACCAGCCGATTTAGGGGGGGGCGGCGGAAGCCCCCCCTCCTCGGGGAATCGACCCCCTGCCTACCCAAAGGTCCCCCTTTGTATTATTTTGAGATATCTATTTTTTACTGACGGACCCTATAACTTTTCTAAAGGCGCCCGCCTTGGGCGCCAAAATATACCAAATTTGAGGGGGGGGGGGCGAAATAACGCAAATTTTTGGTCAAAATTTTCCAAATATTGCCTAAAAATGCCCTTTTCGAACTTTTTTTTTTCAAAAATTGCCTGCAGCGCAGAAAACTTTGTCGAAATGCGGTCTTTATACTGATTTCGGAGAGCTCAGAAAATCAATTTGGTCGACCTAAATAAAAGTCGACAAAATTTACGACATTTTTTTGAAAATCAACTATCATACCCCCCCCTTTTCGAGAAAATCCTATATCCGCCCCTGCTTCGTAATACGATACTAAGCTGGATAGATAGCTCGTTTAACGAAAAGGAATATACTAAAAATGTAAAACACAGAATAATTTATTTGATGAGCACAACAGCCATCATTTATCATTTCTATTTTTCTATTTTAGTTGAGTCAATTGAATCTTAACAAGGACCTTCATTTCAATAAATGCACAAACTAAGTTCAAGTAAAAAATCTTTTTCAAAAAATTTAACATGTGCTCCTTGACTAAAAATGAATCCCGGTTTCCTTCCCATTTTTGCTTTAAACACATGTAATTCGCTGGACCAAAACAATTGAAGTTATAACTTATAACAAACAAAGAATATGTATACATACTAGAAATAATTAGGGGAAAATATAATACTTTTTCAAGTTTGAAGTGCAGAGCACTTATTAGGAAAAATCAAATAACAAAAATTCAGAACAGCAGAAAACTTGCGAAACAAAATCGTTTTTATTCAAGGTTATGTAAAACTGCGTTTCCTCAAAACTGCGTGTAAAACAATCAGCGTCAGAAAACTAAAATATATTTTTAACGGAAACAATTTGAAGAAACTATCTTCTGTCTGTAATTTGATCAAATCGCAAAAAGGGTTTCAAAGATTTATCATTATCGAGAACAACTCTGTTAATCATTCTAGGGAACAAAGAAACAAAAAACAGAACACAAAAAACGCTTTTTGAATAATCGTCATCATATTTTTGAACACAGAGGCAGAGCAGAGCTTGCGATACAAGATAAACATTAAGATGACGGACCGACGATCAGATAACTCAAATTGGTCATTAACTATCTTTCACTTATGTTAGTTACTATGAGTAACAAAAGATAGCCAAAAGACATTTGGAAAGGTGTTCAATGAAAAACAAAGTGTTGTTGAGTAAAAAGAAAACAGTAGTTTATAACTTTTAAAAAAAAAGCTGATGAACTTCCAAAAATTACATATTATCCAATTTTTTTTATTTTCAAAAAATTCATTGAAGGTGACTTTTTGTTTTAATATAATAATTTTAAGAATTCGTTTCAATAAATAAGTTGATAAGACTGGATCAAAAAATTTTTTCATTCCACTGCGTTTTCTGCTTGTGCATAGGCAAAAGTGCACTTAGCAAACGCAAAAAAAAACTACTGAAACTTGAAAAATCTTAAGAAAAATGTAAACAATAAAAATACTTGAAATAAACGCATTTGAAATAATCGTCACATATACTTTTGAACACAGAGGCAGAGCAGAGCTTAGCACCACTCGCAATAGAAAATAGAAATAGTTTGACAAACTAACATATATAGATGAATTAAAAGCCGCAAGTCGAAAAAGAAGCTTTGAAATGTCGAGAAAAAATGTAGCAAAATTTGCATTTCTTTGTGCCAATTTTCCTTGATAAAATAAATGAAAATTAAATTCCCTTGACAAAAATTTTTACGAAGTGGTACCAAATCTAAAACTACGCCCTAAAACGATGCACACGCACCTGTATCTTGTTTCGCTTGTAAGAGCGAAGTTGGTAAAAATAGAACCAAATTGAAAAACAAATTGTGATAAAAACGGGTAATTCATAGGCTGACATGACCCAAACATGACTGTTGGATGAAAAAAGTTCAGATTAGAGAAAATTGCTCGGTGAATCTGTTGGAAAGTTGTTTTGAAGAAAAAAAATTGCTTGGGTTGGAATTTTGTCATTATAAATCGACTGAATTCAAAATTTTACAAATTAAAAAAATTCGAACAAAGAAATCTTTTCTTTGAAAAATATTAAGGATTATTAAAAATTTTGCAAGCCGAAAGTCCCCATAAAAGATTCCCAGCTAAATTATCTATAACTATGAACAACTATGAAATTTTAAAAAATCATTGGCAAATTTAAAAGAAAGCTGAACCTTCAACAGAGACGGGGAACGTGAACTAAGCCGATAAAAATAAACAGACGAACGATAGCCCAAAAAGGCTGAAACTTCTAGTTTCCAGAAAAAAAAACATTACGGCCGGATCGAACTACAAGCTTTTGTAGTCCTCAGCAAGTCTATTACCGCTACCCCAAACGCGCTGGATGGTTGAATGAATTTCAATCTATTGCAAAATCTTTCAAAAAAAGTTCCGTACAGGAAGCGATTAGTACCTCGTTGCAACTCCCTTGTTAATCGCAAAGGTAAAGTTTTAATAATAGACTGAAGTCAGTAAAAATATTACAAATCCTAAAAACAGAAACAGAAAGTCCTTAAAAAGGCGTATTTTTGATTTTTAAAAACTAAAAAATGCTTTAACCATTTTTTTAGTTTTTCGATCAGATAAACTAGTAAAAATCAAAACATCGAAGCAAACAAACTGACACAAAAACAAAAATAATGGAAGATCAGATAACTCAGATTACTCACCAACCACCTTTCACATGTTCTAGTTAGTGTGATTAACAAAAAATAGCCATGAGTGTAGGAAAAGTGTTCGATAAAAAATAAAGTGTTGTTGCGTTAACAGACAACAAAAAATTATATCTTTTTTAAACAGCTCAGCTGATGAAAAAGACATGCTATCCAAATTTCTTTCATTTTTAAAAACCTTCATTAATGGTGGCTTTTTGTTTTTAGTATAAAAATTTTTTAAAAATGTTTCAATAATCAAGTTGATTTAACTGGGTCAATAGCTATTTTTTTTCTCTGCGTTTTCTGCTTCTACACAGGCAAAACTTGGGTTAATTCTAGTACAACCGATTAAAAGAATTTTCCTCATAAAACACAGAGGCGAATCAGAACTTCGCAAAACTCGCGAAATAACACAAAGACAGCGATGTAAATAAGCAGACGGAAAAAAAGTCGGGAGCAACAAAGACCCAGAATTTTTTTCGGTCGGAAAAAAAACTGCGCACATTTTTCGAGAATAATCTTCGCTTTGAGGAAAACTTGCCAAAATAACCATCACCAACACCGCTAATTAAATATTCAAAATCATGAATAGACACCAGTTGAGCCGAAAACAAAATGTCATAGAAAGTTATGAGCTATTTTTTAACGCCCCATTCTTTTAAACACAAAAAAGCATATGAACACAGTTTTGCAGTTTACACGACGCAAAGTGCGGTTAATAAGTCGATTTAACATAAGCCGAACTCATTCAAGTTAAAATAGTAATAATTATACAAAATCAAAGTTGGTAAATTTATAAACTACAGACCGATTTTCAATTATAGTTCGAATCTTTTAAGGACAACAATGATGCTGAAGAAGTTCCATGCGTTGGACCTTAAACCGACAAAAACAAGCAGAGAAACGATAGTCCGATAATTAAAGTTTTACACAACAGATTTCAGTTTTATATCGATAAAGTTCGCGATAAATTTTGCACTAAAACTTGCAATTTTTTGGTGGCGAAAAAACGCACCGAGCGTATAAAACTGCACAAAAGCGCCAATAAAATCAAATTTGTCTGAATTTCATAACTTAACCAAAGAAAAACACAGCGCCACTTAAATGAACAAAAACGCAATAAGCGAATTTTTAGCCTAAGTTTTATTTTCTTCGTGACGCAAAAACTTTTAAAATTTTTCTGCAATTCAAATCAGATTTAAAATGGCTAAAATTTGATAGCGCACGCAATCACCTTTAAAATTTTTTCAAATTTTGAATCAGCCCCCGATGTCATAGTTCTCCTTTTTTTTATAAACATGTTGATATTAAAAATGGGCTTAATATGTTGTTAATTAAAATTATTGATAACTTTTTGCGAGGGAATGTATGTAACTGCAAGATAGAAATTACTTTCTTATTTAGTTACGCACCATTTCCATTGTTAAACCCACTGATACCTTGGCTTTGATTAAAACCAAAGAGACCGATAGTCCACTGCAAGTCTATGAAGTGAAAAATTGCAAAACACCGTTTTTGAGTGCCACTTGTCGTCGCAGTGCCGCAAACCAGAGCCATCTGGAAGCTATTGAAAGCGTCCAGAATTCCTGGAAACGCTGCAACCTTATTCCACGTCACAACATAGCCCCAGTCACATGAAAACCCTTGGATATCGTTTTCGAGCAAAGTGTTTGCGTCTAAACGATCATTTGAACTCATTTCACGTTTGAAAACATTGTTGAACAAGTTCGGGTCTTCGGACCCAACGATTCCATAAATGTCTTTCGTGAAATCATCATCGCTCGTGATCGAACTAAGATCACTTTTATTGTACGTTTTTTCTTCCCCGCGTGTAGCCCGTGTTTTAAAGTTGAATGTTTGCCAGCTCGACCCACCGGTGTAAAAATCGCATATTGGTTCTCGTGGATAATCGCTTTGATATGAATAAACTGTCAAATTACACATCGAGTCTAGAAGATTGTCCACAGTGTATGAATCTGCGTAGAAAGGAGCTATCATCGCTGTAGTTGAAGATTCAAAATTATTTGGATCGTATTTATCTTTCATCGGTGAATCAAATGTTACTACTCCAAACACACAAACGAAAAGCTCATTTCGAGGCTGTCCACCAAATTGAAAACCAGAAGGCAAACTGTAAGGCTTGGAGCATCCAGATAGTGATTTAGTAAGAAACTGGTCATTATATTTAGGTCCAAAATTGAAACTAAAACTTTTGGACTGGGCTGCACTTAGCCATATGTCAATCATTAACAAAATAAAGAGCATTTTGCAATAATTCGTCCGAGCTAGAGCTCATAAAATGAATTCGTTTTTAAAAATGCCACTGAGTTCGTTTTTAAAAATGCCACTGAGTTCGTTTTTAAAAATGGGACATTTGAAAGTCAGTTTTGACCATTGAAGAGTAAAAATATGCAACGATAAATTTAGAAATGACGAAAAAAGCTAAGAACAATAGTCTGCAGTATTTATAATACCAATCAGAATGACACAAAAACTCCCGTCAAGTTATTCAAAACAGCTTTATTGCAGCTAATGTTATTTTTATGATTCTTTAAAAGCTCTTGTTTATACAAAATAATCAGATATTTTCGGTGGTTGTGCATACTAAGTCTGGTAGAAATTCTTATAATGGGCGGATAATATAGTAACTAAGAAACAAATTAATAAGAAAAAAGAGAGCCGAGGTACGCTAAAACAAAATATACCAGTTCAAAAAGTCTGCTGAATATAATTTTTGGATATTTTACATATACTCTCTCTAGTTCGCAAAAATTATTAGCTTAACTTATTGTGGTTTCTGCGATTCGCAGAGGATCTATGAAAGGCTATTTAGCCTGTCTAAGCATAGTCCGTTTCTCTTATTTCCGCACGCTTCAAACTAAGTTATTTTGTAGAGCGAAGCTTTTTTGCAGCGCAAGGCCATTTTTGCGTCTAGAACTTTCAAATGGTACCACTATTGCTGCCGTCATCGGTCAGGCTGTGGTAGACCTGAGGCTAGAGGTCAAGTGAGAGCTCGTCCTCACACACTATCATTGCAATGATAGGGGATCAATTACACGATCTCTAAGTGAGAGCCTTACCACTATGCTAAGTGCCTCTTTCTATTAGATTGTAATTGCTCAAATCAGGGCGAGTGGCGGGTCAACTTCTCATCCCCCCTCTCCTCAAATCTAGATGCCCCATATTTCCAACAGGTCTCTTGGGTAATATTTTACAAAAACCATTTCTGACTGACCCACTCTCTCCAGTTTTCAAGAGGCGCTTTCAGGGCCAACATGTTCGAACTTTGAGTGGGAAGCGCGCCAAGAAAGCATTTTTTAGTTTAAAACAGACATGACACTTGACAGGAAATTTTGTAAACGTCTTTAGTCAGTACTTTAGGTTCAATTGACTTGTTTCAATTCAAATAATTTTTGCACATGCAATACATCACAAACAATTCATTTTGCGACCCCCCCCCCCAAAAAAAACACCAGGGAGACCCTTTGTGTGTGGTTAGGTGATCGATTCCACAGAGCATCGCAATATCTTTCTTTTTCAGTTAAAAAGTCGAAACTTGTCTGGATAAAAAACTAACCATTCCAAGCGCAAATTTTTTGTCACTTTCATTGAAGGTTGGAACACAAAGAGCTAAACTCACTCTTAGTTCCGATGCACTGCCCATTCTAAAAATCCAAGAAATCCAAGAGTAGAGAAGTATGCTCGTAAAATTTCAAATATAATTTAATTTTTAGCATTTTTACGGAAATATCAAAAATATACAAATAAAATTCAGAACAGATATACACATAAATAGACGCTTTTAAATATTTCAATTATTGCACTTCATATTTGCACCTGAAACGTTTAAAATAGTTTATGTTTTTGATTATCTTCAGTCTAATGAATCATCACTGCTTGAAAACTGGTCGTCGCCTTCTCGTGAGTACGAAAACGGCTTCTTGCGAGCACTGAAGAACAGAATAAAATAATGACTTGCACCAGGGGCGGATCTAGGATTTTCTCGAGGAGGGGGGGGGGATTTTCAAAAAAATTTCAAAATTTTTTTGAAAGTCCTTATTTTGGCCAAAATTTCAGCGCCGTAGGCAAAATTTTGTTTTGAAAAAACAGGCCAAAAGGCGTTTTAGGGACTTTTAGGGAAAATTGGATATCTCAAAATAGTTCGAAGGGAGAACCCTTTGGGTCGGCAGGGAGTCGAATTCCTCAAGAGGAGGCGTCTGCCCCCCCCCCCCCCCCCCCTAAATCCGCTGGTGACTTGCACCAATAAAATTCAAGATTCATGATTGCCTTTTAGTAAAAATAATAGTCGCTGCTCAAACCAAGGATATTTAATAAACCTATCTCGCATCCATTTGCAATATATGGATGGCCTTTGGTTTCTTCGTGAGAAGATTCTAGTAGGTGTCCAAGATTAATTTGAAAATATGTACATATATTAGACAAAACTCACAAGCGTGCTCATTTTGGCCCCGTCGCGGATACTTTCAACTATTCGTTTTTGTTCACATCCTTGAAATCACATAAATCGAATCCAAAATAACTTGATAAAATTACATTTCGTGCTGGTGGTCTACCACAATGAAAATACTCCAATCCCGCCGTTAAGATCCACAAAAAGCCTCTTTTATTTTTTTGAGTAACTGGTTGTCTCTAGCTTACCTTGTTATTCGTCTTCTCTCCATGAAATGTGGCGAAGATCTGTCGGATTTCACGGGCGGTGGACTAACACGTGCAGGCAGCGGCTGACTCTCTTTCGTCCGGTTTGAACCAGAGCCAAAGCTGTGGTGGGAATTCGACAAACTCGGTGCTCGGCCAGGCGTCCGTTTCAGTTCTGTTTCATTCATGATGTCCACGCTTAAGCTAACCGACAAACTATCGACACAGTTTAAAACTGGTTCAATTGGCCTAACAAGATTTTCGGCCGATACTATCTTGGTATCGTGACAGCTCTCAGCTCTGTGATGGGAACTGCGTTTAGATTGTCTTTTCTTTTCTTTTTGGCGTCGTTTCCGTTTCTTTTTGGCTACTCTCCTCTGTCTCTCCTCTGAGTATTGTTCGCACCAGAAGAAGTCCTTTGTCCACTCCTTAAATCCAGAGCTGTATTCCAGGGGAGGGGGTACTTTAGTGTAGTCTTCTCCGTAAATGACTATTCCACATACCAGAATGTGAGGAGTCGAAGTCTGGTTTGAGCTAAAAAAAAAAAACTCCCTTGAAAAATAGAATACAACAAAAATTGATGTTGTTCGACGGCTAAATTTGATTTGCCTAAGCTCTGCTGGCTACCGTAGTCAGTACTGAAATATTTTAACATTAATTCGAAAGGAATTTATGAAACAAGGCATTTTACCTGATTGGTTCGATTTCATCACTGTTTTTTCTGCATCTATGCCGTTTCTTTTGTTGCTTTTTGCTCCGTTTTCTCCTAAAAAATATAGATTGGCAGCAAAAATTTCTTGGTTTCCTTTTTTGGCATTACTTTTGGCCTTATCGAATGATCATTATTATTATACTCCAACCAAAATGACCATTTTAGAAACCACAAAAATACCTAGTACAATCTCTTTTATAAATTTATCAATAAATTTGGCATTTCAGAAACTATATTAAAAGTTATGAACAATTGTTTTTATTTTTAAATAAAGATTCATGTCCTCTCATCTGAAGCGAAGATCCATATCCACATTACCAGCAGAATGAAACGCTTGCGACTACATCCGCTGAAATTTTCTAAGTGGCTAAATATCAAATGAAACCCCAATCTTCAACTAAAGACCCTTTCCGTTATACATTAGAAGCTTTCCAGAAATTATTACCCCAAACTTTCCAGTTCTTTTTCTTTTTTGATAAAACAGAGCTATGAATAAATCTGAGTAGTGTAGTTTTTAACTGAAGAGGTCCTATATAACGGAAAAGTTCCTTAAAAGGACAGACACAGATGAACCCTGCACCCAGTTCAGTGATTTCCCGTCTACTAAATCAAGCCATTGAGGCCCTGCTTTAAAACATAGGACAGGGACATCAATCAATTGAAAGCCCCGTGGTGACGTCTAGCTAAAAAGGCCATAAATCAAATATTTTTTGATCCATTCCAAGAGCAGCTGAAACGGTCGTCTGTTGTTATAAATCTTTGAATCGTGTTCCGAGAGCTGCACATAAATTGAACGCAAAGTATTATTTTTTATTGGAACCCAGACTAATACAATAACAGAATATATTAGCGCATCGAAACTTGGATTTTCGTTTATAAAAATAAATGAGCCATTTGACTAACCCTTATCTAAACTTCACCTCAATCCGGGGAACTCGATCTCTTTCCCATACATTTGGTGCTACCGGCTACTTTCCTGATTAATTCAATTTTCTTTTCTAAACTTTTCGAATTATGAATGACTGGTTTTTATTTTTTTTTACGAATACATCACATAATTTTTTTCTAAAACGTTTTCCTGATACATAACTAGCAACCGAAAAAAAAACTGGATCAAATTTTCAGTCAAATTGGTTAACTAATTGAACATGAAAAAAAATTGTTTTCAACTCGGAAAATAAGAAATTAGCAATCTTTTATTTTCGGTCCTCTCGAAACACTTGTAGCAAGATGTCCTCTAAAAGCGCTGCATTAATTAAATCCGAAAGGTAATTTCATTGCACGGAACACATGCAAACCTTTGATCCCTCCAAAAGAGCGGATCTAAACTCCTTTATTCGTCAATTTTGCTGTTTTACCTTTACCATCATAGGTTTTTCTCCACTCCTGATAACTATCCAATTGCGGCCTTTATCGGTTACCGCACTGTGAAATAAGCAGCTAATCGCAGCAAAGAAACAAAACAAAATTTGAGTCAGGTTCGAATTGAATTATAGCTGAAAATCCTTCAAAATTTTTCAAGTTTATTAGCAAATGATGTCACAGGTATTATCATAACAACAATGTCAAAAATATCGCACAACGAAAGAGAAATAGCCAACACATTTTAACGCACTGGGCTGATAAAAAAAGAATCGGAATATTTCCACAAAACAAGCTAATCGTACCAGTGCCAGGCCAGTTTTTTTACTCTAACTCTTCAGTGCTAAATTCATGACTCAACCACTCAGAATAAATAGCTCGTATATAGATAACAAAAGATTAAATAAAACAAGGATAGCCGGTTGCTGTGCAAGTAGCACCGAATGTCCGACCACATTTCGGCATAAACGAAACCAAAGGTCTTCAAACAAATATGCAAAAATCTTTCGAATTATTTTTCAAGTTTTTTTTTCAATTATTTCTTTTAAACAGGTGATTAGTTTGGTAGCTAGAATCTTATAACATATGATGCCAGAACAAAATTCCGACAAACTATAAGTTGTAATAAATCAGCAAAAACTTTAGGTGAAAAAATCTTAACAAAAAAACTATTTCGCACAGAGGCGAAGTTGCACTTCGCATAAACTAGCAAAAATATGACCGATAACGCTACTGGGAAGAGATTTTTTTTGCCATAAAAGAGATAAATAAAGCTTCCAATAATTGTTTTCCTTTAGGTAAAATCAAGTTTTTCAGCCTAAATTTCTAATTTCCCATATAAACGTTTTCGATCGCTTTACTCGCTCGAAAAAAGACGAAAAACTGAAAATTTCAAACCGGTTTTTCTCGACAAGAAAAAAATGGGAATTTTTAAGACGGTTCGAATTACGACTGAAAGATCTTTAATATGATATAACACTCAACCTATCTGATGAATTTTTTGGTACCTGATTTTGCCTGGAAAACATAAAAGAGAAAACTAAAACACACCCGAATACAAAGTTCCTTCCGATTTCCAATGGTCGGAACCAAAAGGATAGCCGTTTACTGCGCAAGTAGCACAGATTATTCTGACCATAGTTCATTCCGACCATAGTGAAATAATACTGTGCAAGTAGCTCAGATTATTCCGACCATATTGTGCAATAAGCATAGATTATTCCGAAAAAAAAACAAAAAAAGTTTTCTGAATTGAGTGTCGTTTTTTTTCTGCATAGTGAGATAAAATGATCTGAACGAAAGATTGAAGCTTGGGCATATTCAACATTCATAATAGAAAACCGTTTGAAAAACAGTATATAGTTTTTCTACTCATTTGTAGAAAATAGACTAGAAAAACCAAAAAATTATCATTAAAAATTGCTTTTGCTGAAACTTCTGCAGAATCGCTTTATGAGCTGGAAATAAGACCAAAAATCAAAAATTTCAAATTTAATTTTCTCGCCATTGAGAAATCTTTTTCAAATTTTAAAATGTCAATCGAATCATGACTAAAAGGGCTTTTATATGGTATATCACTCCATTCATTATGATGATTACTTACGGTACCTGATTTTGCGAGGACAACTTGAAGAAAAAAAATTATAACGCCCGAGTCCAAAGTTCCTCCCCATGTAAATGGTCGGAGCAAAAATGCTGGTCCTCCAAAAATGCAACGTTTTCAAAAATTTTAGGTTGAAATGAAACTTCTCTGAAAAAGTCGAAAGCGAAAAAAATTCAGAAGAAAAACTGAGCTTACGCGATTTATTTCTGATAATTTGAGAGCTCATTACGAGCTCATATCATCATATCATATTGTTATGCTGACTTTTATACAAGCTGCTGAAAAAAAGCAAGCTCAAAATTATTACAACGCCAATCTCGTTTATATGACAGCAAAAAATGTAATCGCTTGCTTCTGCATTTCATAAAAAACATCTTTTAAACAGGTGATTAGTTTGGTAGCTAGAATCTTAAGACATATGATGCCAGTGACAAACTATAAGTTGTAATGCATCAGCAAAAACTTTAGGTAAACAAACCTTAACAAAAAACTCTTTCGCACAGAGGCGAAGTTGCACTTCGCATACACTAGCAAAAATATGACCGATAACGCTACTGGGAAAAGCTGAATGAGTAAAACTTTGAGTCTACGAAACTTCTTCAGTGATGCACGCCAATTATGAGTCTTCATAATAGCTAAGTGACGCAAGCTAATTATGTGACGCGTTAGCAGTACCAGTCAATTTGAAAAAAAATTTACCAACTAACATGCCTCAATTTATAGAGCGCGCGCATTTTAACTAGCGTATGAAAAAGTTAATTCAAAACATCCGACGCTGCCCAGGTTCGAACCCTCTAAGTTTTTATACGCTACAGATCCATGATACCTTCTCTACGCTACAGATCCACGATACATTGAAGCTTAAGTGCTATTGGTAATATAAGAGTCTGTTTTAATATCCTTAGCATTGGCTGTACTTAATAGCTGGTTATTGGCCAAAATGAACACATTTTGTCGGAACAATATTTGCGTCGCAACAATATTTGCGGCCGAGGTTGGAAAAAAGGGATTTCTTACTATAACACAAGCTTTGCTTGTGTAAATAGAAACTTTTTAGTGACTGGAAATGGCTACCCTTGTAAACATTTTTTTTTTCAGATTGAGTTTCTATTGAGGCGGTTATAACCGCGACTTGATTTGTTTTCAAGTTTTCGTTCCAATTGATTTTATACCAATGTACCGCGAATTGAGCAAAGCATTCAATTGAGCTGAAAAATCATTTTTTGTCGTGGAAAAAAGTTTTGAAGATTCTATTGGCGCATCCTCAACACGAAAAGCTCATACATCTAATGAATGTTTGGTGCGGAAAAAAAGCTAGCTGAAACTCTCACAAATTATTTCCACAATTCACAAAAGGACTTTTCAGCTCAAATAAATGCTCTTCCCTTGATTTATTTTTAATTCGATTGGAAAACAAGATGTTTCAATCGGTTTTTCTCAAAAGACTATACGGAAAATTTAACACAGAGGCAAAGCTGCACTTCGCAAACACAAGTGAAAACCGCCAAAAAGGGCTCTTTTAAATGGTAAAAAATGGAAATTTAAAAAAATAAATGACCTCTAAGGGCATTGAATCTCACACCACTGACACTGACGCTTATAGAAAACAAGCACAAGCTAGAAAGCCGCAAAAGGGAGCACAAAAACAAAAAATTAATGAACAAAGCATGTTAAAACGTGGTTTGTGAAAAAAAACTTAAGGGAACCACGATAACTTTGCATGTAATTAATTGCAAAGTATAAAACCAAATAGTGTAAAAACTATGCATTTCAAAAACTTCGCGACAGATATTGAGTTAAATAATTTTTTATTGAATCGTTGTACGAAACAAATAGCTCTCTTCGGTTCATTTGATAACACAAAAATGCATCAACTATGTTACCCTAATATTAATAGATCAAAAAATAGGCTTTTAACTAACCAATTCAGCCTCCAGATTAAACAAAACCAAAAGTAGCACTTATATTCGCATTTTAGGGTGTGAGCCTTGTAGTATCACACTAAGCTCTGCGTCTGTATAAAATATCACTTTTATTTGAAATACTTAAAATCTTGTGTGGAAGGCCTCAAATGGGAGCATTTTACAGA